GGGGGGGGGGGGGGGGGGGGGGGGGGGGGGGGGGGGGGGGGGGGGGGGGGGGGGAGACAAAAGAACCCGAGGTGGAGGAATAAGAAAACAAAAAGAGACAAGGACGGTCGATACACGCACAGGAGCGTTTCCTAGCATTCTACAATCCAGTTACCTGCAAGGCTGACGTCTTCTTGTTGGTAAGCCCGGGGAAAAATCTCGGTACAAACGGTTAGGCAACACAATAAACGCACGTAGCAACACATAAACTCTCGCGCTTGCAAACCGCAAAACACGCACAAAGCTATGCGATGCTGAAGCACTTGCCATGGAAAAGGTGTAGAGGTTTGGACGAGCGTTGAATATCACCACCGACTGACCGACCATGTTGATCGCCAGCGCCGCCATCGTGCAAGCGCCCAACAGCATCACCAGATAGGCGGACCTTAGGTGACCAGCAACGTAGCAGGGGACACGCGTGAGGGGGAAATCAAAGACACGAGACGCGATGTTTTTAACGACAGACACGGCGTTCTCTTGAGGAAAAACGGATCATTTTGGCTTTCGAATCGGAGAGGCGGGTTGTGTCCGGAAGCGGGATAATGGCTTCCGAATCGGGGTGATGCGGGTGCACCAAGCACGTGGTCTGGGCACGTAGGTAACATCTTCTGACGTCAAACGATCGTCGTCTCCACCCACGAACGTTTCCGTAACGGGCTCTCCCGCCAACCAACCCACCGCCGTAGGCCCCAAGGCATGCTGCATGCAGCGAGACCAATGAGGCGGTCTCTCTCGTCTCGGTAACGCGAGCACTTATGCAATGTGAAATCTTCGTAATCTTCAAAAAAACCTGTGATCGTGCTGCTGTTTCGAAAATTCCAACATTACCGGAACGAAAAGACGAACGGGTAGGCTTCAGTGATCGCATGTAATTTCTTGAGAAAAGATTAATTCCGGCAAGCTCGCTCCGTTTTTCCGTAACAAGAAGACTACTTTGGGCAAAATTCCAGGAAGTAGCATGCGCGTTTCTTCTCCCCCCTCGAGACCAGCCGCTTCTCGAAACGAGCGTTAGAGTGTGACAGCAATACCTTCGACACTTACGGACTAGTACACGGTGGTGGAGATCGCTTCCAACATAGTTGCCGATACGATGTTAAAAAAAAACGGCCCACAAGTGCCGCTTTTCGAATGTCCCGATATTCACCAAGGTGCCCGATATTCCGACAATCGATCTTCCGATCTCGATGTTGTGGAAAAATACCGCAGGTGACACATATCACCTCCCGTTGACCAATTTCAAGAGGTCCACTTCTCCAAGAGGAAGAGGATGCATTATCGAAAGTATGCGTTTTGGGAAATATGGTTCCAATACCTGTTGCACTGTGCCGTATGTCTCGATTGAAGCAGGGTACGTGCGGTTTGGCCCCGCGCTTGAAAAGATCGGAATCGGAATCAATTGTCGACAGTCGATGTCCAATCTCGATTCAGAATCGGCAATATCGGCACAGTATTTCAGCGATTCGATATTGGGAATCGCCGATACATTGAGATCGAATGTGGCGATTCGATACACGGTCTCCATCACTGGAGTCACTAGTAGTATCATCTAGGCCGTCCTAGAAACGCCACCTCTAAACTTGTAACCGCAGTGGGCCGGCCGGTAGAACGCGGTTTGCGCCTTTTCGGATACCCACCTTGCCCTGATCTCGAACACGTGTCAACTCTTGATAAGGAGGAACATCGCACCGGTCATTGCGACAAGGAGTCCGCCGCTGACCACCAGCAGAAACCAAGCAATGCCCATGTGCGACGAAGCAACGACACACGCGCGCCAAAGGTTTCGCTCGAGGAGGGCTTGGTTATGGACACCCAGGGTGCCAAGCGCTTCGTACAGAAGATCGTGGTTCGCTTTCTTGGAGTACTCATCATGCGTCCTTGATGTACTTCTTCAGGGGTCAGAGTCCGTGCTGTACCGCAGAACAGGCTCGATGGAAGAAACAAGAAATATTTGTTGAGAAGCAGGGCTCCAAGTTCATGAAAAATACGAAAATAAATATGGTTCAGAAAAGCAGCTCAGCAATGGATTGTAGACTACACTCCACACAAAAACCTGTGCTCGACATGTGACGATGAAATAGAATCTGAGCCTGGACCCACTCTTGACGTTTCTTATCTCCGGGCCCGTTCTGTAGCCTAGACAATATCCAAGGAAGAAAAGAATGACAGGGACAAGGATGAAACCCGGTCAAGTTTTTCAAAGCAAAGGTTGGGTGCAAACAAGAAGAAAAGAGTTCCCGCACGCCTTTCTTGCCGCGTTCGCGACTGATTCACGCAATGAACTGATGATGACTCTCGCACCCCCGAAGCAAGCAGTCAGCAAGAGGGTCTAGACCATGACTCGGAGTCCGCCGAACGACACCAATTGCTGTCCTGAGGTTCCCTCTGACTGTGGAAACAAGGCACGCACAACAAACGCCTCCCTTGGGTCTCACGTTCACCTTCGGGAAACACGAAAAAAAATGCATCTGCAGCGCTTGGCTCTCTCGGGAATAACTCTCGTAAGCGTCAAACATGTATCTGCACTAACCGACATCTGTTGGCGTGTGGTTAAACTCGAACTTCGCCAGGAGGTCGGCGTACTCGGCGCCGTAGGCGCTGCTGCTGCCGAAGGAAGAGTATGCGTACGAAGAGATCCCGCTCGGAGGAACCTCGCCAGGGCTACCGCCGTCAGAACCTGCCGTGGCAGCAGCAAGGAACAGCATAACAACATCACATATTCGCGGTGGTGAGCAGTGAAACAAAAGTACTTCTGATTTGAGAAAAAAACCCCGGTGCGACCTTCTTCGGACATGTGCGCTGAATGGTGTGTGAGGCAGTACAGTAGTAGACTGGCGCAAGATTACTTGTAGTCTAGATCGACGGGCACATGCAGCGGGCGGCGGGGCGACAAGACAACATGAGAGAAAAGGAACAACGCCCGCAGTTGCCCGCAGGCACCAATTTATGTAAGAACATGGCCGGCGAACAATACCGGACTGGAAGCAAGCCCGATCTTGAGTGATGAGTGCTCGAGCAAGGCCCAGTGAATCTGCAGAAGCCAGATGCATACGCTGCAATCCTTCCTACTGTGAGCATGTAAACATCTTCCCCCAAAGAGAGTGATCTCGAAGGGCGGTCCGCCTCTGATATGATGCAGACCGTAACAACAGTTGCAACCTGTTAGTGTCGGTGAGATTGCAACTTGCTAGTGACTCCCCCTTTCTGAGCGGTTGCACGCCCTCTTATTGGTTCGGCGTTGGCTCCTAGCCTTGAGCCTCTCCAGCGCCCTCTCGCCGTTCCGCAGTCATTCCAGCAATGATATACGTTATTTGACATTACCATGGACGTGTCCATGGACGTGTCCATGGACGTCCACGGACATCCGTGGACACGTCCACGGACGTCGATGGACACCGGAAGACGCCCGTGGACATTGTCCGTGGACGCCCGTGGGCACGTCCATTGAATTGTCCGTAGACAAGTCCATGGACGTCCACGGACATTTGTCCGTGCATGTCCATGGATGGTGGTCCACGGACGCGTCCACCCACATCCGTGGACGGTCCACGGAAGCGTCCATGGACGTCCACGGACGTCCACGGGCACGAACGAGATGCTCTATTGAGATATTGCTGCAACAACTCCGAAAATCCACATGGGATGTCTAGGTCGTTATAGTTTTCTGTGCACACCGTAGGGGACAGAAGATGTAACACCCCCGGCCCCAATCACCACCGCAAACAGTGCAACGGTGCCAACATGGTGGTCAGTGTCGTATATGACACAATATATCATCCTCCCCCCGGCCCACGTAACAATGATCGATGACGACGTAGTCCACAGCAATGTGGGGGTGTCGGAACGGTGTCGTGACGCTTTCCCAATAGCTATTGCTTTGATCTATAGATACTACATACATCCTTTTCCGTCGCGACATGACAAACAACTTTCTTAAAATGACGCTCTCGGTACTACGGAGCAGCTCAGTAGAGATTTGACACTCTGTCATGGTGTACTGTACCATGACACACCATGAGAATAATCTTATGGTGCCCCGGACTCAATGACGTCCAACAATTGTCATGCCGTTAGACCCATTGTGCGACCAAAACAACGAATGCCGACGCCTATCCCCAAAGAATAATTTTGGATCTCTCCTGGGGGGGAGGGGAGCTCCCCCCTGTTGCTTGTGCCAAGAGATAAGAACAGATTCTAACAAAAAAAAACAAGGATCAGGAGGTTGGTTCTAGAATTGTACGGAATGTTGAAAAAAGGAATAGGGTTCAAGGAGTGCCTACATGGACCAATGGATGCCGGGACAGAGCTTAAGGTCAAGTTCATAACCGGGGACATCGGCCTTCGAGAACGAAGACAAAGATTAGGAAGGAGGCGATGAAGACGAAAAGATCAAACGTGATTGCGGCTCCGAGTGCGAAGACCTTGTTAATGTAGTTGCGGAATGCTCGTTGAACGAGACGGAGAGGAAAGTGGACATGACTGAGCTGTGAGAAGTATAGGGAAGATACAGGGAGATGATTGAGGCATGGAATAGCCAGGAGAAGACGGTAGCTGTACTGGGTGGGTTAAAAAGGCGGGAAATGATATCGATAGGATAGATGAAGGAGTGAAGAAATTTTTTTGCCATCTTTGGCAAAGTGGGAACAAACGATTGACCATCGGTGATCGGTCCTGCAGGAGGAGGGAGGATGAAGTCGCTCGAGGCGAAAGCGCTCGAAGAAGCGGCTGTTAAGTCTTGTTGAGGGAGGTGGGGGACTTCGGGGATAATAAGTACAACGCACGGAAAATTGCGGGTGTTGCACGTGGCTAAGGTGAAGCCACCACCCACCGTAGGCTCCTCGCCAGCCTCTCTCCAGTATGTTTCCGGCTTGAGTAAGCTTGGATTGATGATGTTCCACGCATGGTTTTATTGTGTTATTTGGTCCTGGGGTGTCGTTTGTTGATGTTATTTCGTCATATTCGCCCAAGGTCTAACGGTCGTGGTGGACTTGTCCCAGAAGCTTTGAGACTTCAGCTTGGGGGGATGTCCCAAGCACTACTGTATTCTTGAAGACTTCAAAACCAACTAAAAATGAACCCGAATAAACATTCTTCGCGGGGGGGTGTACTTTAGTCGTGCATGCCGTAGACCATGGACCTCGCTTGCCGGGACGGAGCACGCCGGGTTCTCACCGGACCAGGCTCTCACATCACCAAGCGCGAAGCGCCGTGAGGTATTCGGCGAGTCTCATGAAAGGTGCGCTGCATCCTGCAAATGGTGTTCGGCATCTTGTGCTTACTTTCTTGCGTACGTACGGATAACAGCTGCGTATGCCCTAAATTATTTTCTGGCGCTTTACGTCCAGAGACAGTAGTTATCACCGCTGTGTAACTGCCTCGAGGCTGCTTGACCCATTTAACACAACGCGGTACGATCATCCCATTATGCGGAGTGAGGGTTCTCGACCCCGCACAACATAATCTACTCGACCACCATCCATTCATGGATACCGCAAAAAAAAAACATTGGCAAACAAAAGCGGTATCTTGGTTGCCAGGATCACGAAGTGATCGGCTTGTTTTACATACAACATCGCTGCCAAGCGACGAAAACCCAGTCCTGATGGCAAACACCGGGGAGCGGGGGGGGGGGGGGGGGGGGGGGGGGTTCACTCATAGTCGTGCATGCCGTAGTCG